ATTCAGTTTAAAAAAATATTTCTCTTCCCATCCACATTTAGCAATACTATTCTCTGGTTTTCCATATAATTATCTCTTCTCCAATCATTCTTGATCATCTAGAAATTGTACATTTAATCTTACTCCATGAAGGAAATGACCATTTTTTTGGAACAAAAGGCAAGGAATATTTTATTTTTTTATTGGTTTGCACTATGAATCTGTACTATCTGCTTCCTTCATTTGTTGCAAACATGCAACTAATTGCATAGCTGCTTGAGTGCAAAGCTCTATGGACTGAGTCTCCAACAGTGCTTGTTCATGATGTGTATTCAATTAATCCCAGTTTTGTTAATGAGGCAAAGGATGACTGGAGTTGGTATGGTTCTGTGACAGTAACAAGGACGATATACTTTTCAAGCTACAACAGGAAACATGTCCCTTTGTCTTCATATCCTCAAGGGGAAGACTCTAGCTTTCCTATTACTTCTGTATAAAAAAGCAGATCATAAACATTTTTCACTCCTGCTTAGGAATCCTGAGTCATGGTTTGGCTCTAATACTTCAGATGAGGAGACAGGACACACCTTATGGTCAGGAATAATTCATTAATTTTTCTATCTCATTTCAAAACCAGTAGCTGATACAACATAGAACTAACAACTCAGAAGAACTAATAAAAGGCCATATAAAATAGGAGTCTTCAAGTCTATTTGGTTTTTCACAACTGCAATCAAGTGCAGAATGACAAAGCCAGGTAAATCATGAAATTCCTCTCAGGCTCCATTTCTAACACTCATGCTAACTCTGAAATTCCTTCTCTGTTAAAGAAACTGCCTTGAGAGACAACATTGGAGTGGAAACAAGATCAGGTTTTAGAAATTCTCAGATCTTATTTGCAGCTTTGTATTGACGAGTTAAGAACAGTTTTTTTTCCTAAAAAGCTGGTTTTGTACTGGTTCCATAAATTGTCATCTTTTTTAAAAATTTACATTTTATTGCAAAGGTGATATACAGAGGGGTTACAGTTACATGAGTCAGGTAATGAGTACATTTCTTTTTGAACAATGTTATCCCTTCCTTCATTTTCACCCATGTTTTCCCCATCCCAACCCCCTCACCCCTCAGGTTGTAAAGTTCATTTCCAACATTGTGTCTAGTGAGTATCACTGTTGGATGGGTTCACCTTTTGTCTCACCATTTCTGTGATTTCCCTTTCCCTCCCCAAACCAGATAAACATATACAAGATAAAGGACACCAAAATAAAAAATACAATGACAAAAGGGAATAAAGCAAAGGAAAAAAATAGAAAAAAGAAATAGCTGCCAACAGTATAATAAGAAAAAGCTGTTGTTTCCATTTCTTGAAGTTCATTTCAATAAGCATCATTTATGCATAGCTATTGAGCAACTGTTTCCTCTCCTAAGAATCTTCTCCTTTGTTCTCACTGT